AATTTTGCCTTTGCCTTGTTGAATGAACCATGCTTTTCTACAGTCAAAGAGTGAGTTTCACTTTTAATAAAAGGCCAACGCTCATCACTTGTTTCCCCATTGGTGTATGTTGATTATACAGTAATTGTAGGCTCCAAATAATATCATTAATGCTCGAGTCAAATCCTATCTGCAATCTCAGTTTAAACTTTTAGGTGTCTTTATAAATGAGTAAATCAGCTATTTGATATGTTAAGTGCCTGTACCTATACCTATACCTGTGCATACTTGTTCTTTTTACATGCTTTTATTAGGTATGCATATGTATTTATGAAAAGATGAATAGTAGATTCTTGAATTATAGAATGTGTTTTATTGATTAAATACCTGGTCTACATTTTCTTATAATTTTAGAAAGTTATAATATAAATTAAATTATGTTTATGTCTTTGATCAATATTTACCCCTCTTCTATTTAATTTTCATTTGGCTATATACGCATTGATGTTTACTTATTTTTAATATTCCTTTGTGATAGATGACAACTAATGTTGATAACAATGAGCCAAAACTTTGGCCTGACTCTGTTGTTAAGGCTTTCATTGATATCATGGTTGATGAAACCATAAACAGAAACATGCCAAATGGTGTATTTCACTCTAGAACATGGAATTTGATGACTATGAAGTTAAATTCCATAACAAATCATTCATATAAATCAGAACAATTAAAGGCAAAGATGCACAGGCTACAAGCTATTTATCGTGAATTTTCTTTACTTTTGCAATAAACTGGATTTGGATGGAATGTAGAAACCAACACTGTCACTGCAACTGAAGAAGTATGAAAAAATTATCTACGGGTATGATTTAATTTAATAGTTAATATTTTTATTTTTTATTTATTTAATGTTCAATAATTAATAATGTATTGACTATTTGCTTATATTATTTTAGGTACATGATAAAGCTGCTCAATTTCAAAAGAAAGAATGTGACCATTATAAGTTATTGGAAATGATATTTAATAGAAGAACTGCAACAGGAGCATTTCATTATTCATCTACCTAAGATCCACCAAATACAGACGAAGAAAATGAGCTTGAAAGTCAATACCTCAATAGTGGGAGTTATTTAAATGTTGATAACAATAGATCAAATGATAACACAATAGAAGTGAAGCGCATCTCACGTAGTGGAAAATGCAAAATTCAAGTAAAAGAGCACAAGTTTAGGAAAGAGTCTAGGATATTACAAATGGGAGAGGCTCTTGCAGCATGATAACAATAGCTCAGATGATAACACAACAGAAGTGAAGCGCATCTCACGTAGTGGAAAATGCAAAATTCAAGTAAAAGAGCACAAGTTTAGGAAAGAGTCTAGGATATTACAAATGGGAGAGGCTCTTGCAGCATGGGCTAAAGCATCTAAGGCAAAAGCTGAGAAGTATAAGGCTAGGAGTATGGAGGCTACTTCTTCACTTGTTACACCAGATTATTCTATTACTAAGTGTGTGGCTGCCCTCGAAGAGATTGAAGGTATACCAGATAACATTTATGTAAAAGCTTTCGAAAAATTTAGGAAGCCTGAGTGGAGGGAAATGTTTCTTGCTATGTCTACTAATAAGAAACAAGCATGGTTACTTAGGCTTTAAGGATAAAACTTTAGACATCTATGATTATGTTTTTAATTTGTGATGAACATTTATTTGTGTGCTTTATAAACTGCTTTGAATTTTATGTTATGTTATTTCACTTTTATTATATAATTTTCATTGAATATCTTTTTTATCAATTTTTATTTTTTGAAATTATATGACATGTTATAATCATAATGGATATTGATAAAAGTGGTGATTCTTCTTCTAAGTCAAGTGATGATGAGTTAGCTGAGTTTCTTTTAGTTAATATGCTTTATGATTATGATCATAAATTTCTGAACAAAAGAAAGGTTCGAATATCTGCATTGAGTGGTCGTGATTATACTCAAGAGTTATTAAATGGATCTGAAGTAACTTGCTTTGAGTTACTTCGAATGAGGAAGGACTGCTTTGTTAAATTTTGTGATGAGTTAAGGGTAAAAAACTACTTAAGTGACTCAAAGAATGTTCTTCTTGAAGAGAAAGTTGCTATGTTTTTATTTATAATTGGCTAGAATGTTCGTCATAGAGTTGCTGCAGATCGCTTTCAACACTCAATAGAAACAGTTTCTCGTTATTTTAAGCAAGTGCTAAGAGCAGTGTGTTTATTGGAGAAAGAGCTGATAAAACAGGAATCTACAGAATTGCCCAACAAGATTAGAAATGAGTCAAAATATTATCCTTGGTTCAAGGTATGTATGTAATACTTATTTGTTATGTTAATCATTTCTCCTTTTTTTCTTTTATTCTATCTTGTTTAATTTTTATTTTTTTTGGGTTATTGTTATAGAACTGCATAGGTGCAATTGATGGAACTCATACAAGTGTTATGTGTGCTTGTGATTTTAATATAATGTTTACATTCGTGTATTCTGGATGGGAAAGAAGTGCAAATGATTCAAAAGTTTTTTCGGATGCACTTACTAACCCAAATGCAAATTTTTCATGGCCATCTAAAGGTGAACACTTATATTATAACTGAGTTATTTTTAATTGATGAAGAAATATTTATAAATATATATTCTATGTAATGTAGGTTTGTTCTATCTTGTTGATTCTGGTTATCCATGTACGGGAGGTTTTCTTCCCCCTTATACAGGAGAAAGGTATCATGCACAGGAATATAGAGGCCAAGCTAGACAACCAAGGAGTCCTGCAGAGTTATTGAACTACAGACATGATAATTAAGCGTTGCTTTGCAATCTTGAAAAATAGATTTCCTATTTTGAAGTTGATGCCTCCATATAAACCTTCCAAGCAACGACTTATAGTAACAGCATGTTGTGCTATTCATAATTACATACGAAAGTGAAATTTGAATGATGATTTATTCAGGATATGAGAATAAATGGATCTTATTGAAATTGAGCATAAGAATAGAAGTTCGAGTATAGAAGAAACTAGCTCCAATGATCATAATTTAGGCAGATTATCCGATGAAGGTGCAGCCAAGATGGCAACATTTAGGGATCATATTACAAATCAAATGTGGGTACAATATAATAACTAGTTAGTATTAGTTTATACATATACAGTTGCAAATAGTTATACATACATTGCAGGATATCCTTAATATACATATTCACTTGTTTTATTATATCAGTGTTATTTACTTTTTTTTTTCGTAATATTACCTATTATACTATTTATATTATTTTAAAATTATTTTAATATTAAAATTATTCATTACTTTTTAGTTTAATATTAATTTATTTTGTGTAAGCATGATATAACAACTAGTTAATATTAGTTTATACATATACAGTTATAAATAGTTATACATACGTTACATGATTTATTTATAATATACATATTTTATTATGTCAATGTTATTTACTTTTTTTATGTGATATTATTAAAATTAATCATTATTTTTTAGTTTAATGTAAATTTATTTTATAATTTCATAATTTACGAAACTCTTAGTATTACAAGTTATTATTTTAATTTAATATTAAATTTTGATATTTTAACAATTTTTCAATTCAATATTTTTTAAATATAAAATATATATTTGATTAAATAAAAAATACTAAAATTAAATATTAAATATATATAATTTAAAATACTAAATAAAAAATAAATTAAACCAAACACATTTTATTTTTTTAGTTTTTAAAACTTACTTTTAAAAACAAATTTATCAAACACGTTCTTTTATTTTTTTCTTTTTAAAAACTGTTTTGAAAGCTAAATTACCAAACAAATTTATTTTCATTCTCTTCTTAAAAATAGTCTTTTAAAATTGTTTTCAAATGTAATTTTTAAAAGGTAAAAAGTAAATCTCAATCAAACAGGCCCTTAGACCCTACTTACAATAAAGGTTTTGAATAATTAACAATGAAATTGTTGGTACATAATCAGAAAAGGAGTTTTAGACTAACACTATTAACAGAAAAGATCAATCAATTTATAAGTACATCTAATGAGTTCTTGTATGATTTCAAATAAAATAGGAAATTATTAGGGATGGTTAAACAAAGTATCCAAAATTATCCTTGGAAGCATGGGAATGAATGTTAGTATAACAAGTAACAATGAGACCTATGTTTGACATTAAAAAAAAAAGACCTATGTTTTATCCCCCTATTTAAGTAATTTCAATTCGACATTGTAGCTTCTAGATCTTGTCTTCTTAGTCTTCCCCTCTCAAATTTAGCTTGCAAAAATGCACTATTTTCTGATCATAAATTCAAATAAAGTATCAAAATCACATGCAGTAGTAGCTACATTAATTGACCTTCCTGCAAATGGCTGCTGCAATGCGATGCTTCTCCAATTTGACTTTGATGATAATTTAAATTTTAAAATGTTACTAACTAATAGTACTGGTTTCAACTTTCAATTAAGACCTGTGCGGTTTGGCATTTATTATATTTGTCTTGAAGTTTCTCTCAAGATAAGGGGTATCCATCCGATTGAAATTTTGATGGGGTTAATTTGTCGATTCAATGGATATGAAAATTAAAGTGGGAAACCATGAAATTCATTGACAAAAAATTTAAAGAACGATTTTTTTAACGTGTGTTTAATAAATAAAAATTGATATATAATGTTTTTTTATCAAAACAAAAATAAAATTTAATATATTAACAACATTAAATATGAATCTTTTTAATAAAAAGTATTATTTATTAATTTTTTGTATGGTGTATATATGTAAAAACAACATACCTTAAAATCGTTTAAACAATTGGAATTGGTGTATTGATGGTGTCCAGGTTCTTAACATGCAACAATAACATGGGGCCAAGGAGTGTCTCTATCACTTTTGAATAGTCTATACCGAACTTTGACATATGATACAGTGACTAAGCAAATAATAAATGACTTAGATTGAGACTCTACACCTACGATAAGGCCTCTGAGTACTATAAAAGCATACAACTCCATGTGTTAATATGCACCAAAAAACCAAAATCACTAAGATGGGTTCCTTATCCTTTCTAGTGCTGTTTATTGCTGCCCTTATCCTAATTCCTAAAGGGCTTGCTGATTATTACAAACCTCCTGAGAAGCCTTATAAGCCACCTGTTTACAAGCCACCAGTGTACAAGCCACCAGTTTATAAGCCACCTGTTTATAAGCCACCAGTTGAGAAGCCACCAGTGTATAAGCCACCTGTTTACAAGCCACCATATAAGAAGCCACCATACAAGAAGCCACCTTATGGTAAGTACCCTCCAACTGAAGACAACACCCTTCCCTAAATCATGCAGTGAGGCTTGTTATGTATCTACTAAATAAGAGCAATGCATCTTCTTGGCATAAGCATTTCAACCCTTTGTACAATGCTATATATGGCAAAGTCAAAAGCATCTTAGATATGTGTCCTATGAATGTAACAAAACAAGAGAAAAAGGGTGCATGTACTCCAAATCATAAATAAAACAACTTTTATATGAATTTGAGATTGTGCTGGTTGATTGATTCAGTTGCTATACCAGGACTAGCCATTTATGCATGCCAAGTTCAGCATCAAGTGTTGATCGTATATTGCCCGTACAACTTTTTATGCATATAATGAATTAAATTTATAATTTAACATAATCAATGGATTGATGCATGGGAGTTTAGCCAGAGACAGAAGAAGTCTTGATTTACTCTCCATTCGCACGTAGAATAACATCTGAACTTCAGCACAAGTTAATACTATAGTTTACTTAAAATTTGAGTTTTACTTCACATTCATAATGAAAATCAATATTAAAAATCAATGTATATTATAAGAAAAAAGTATCATCTTAATTAAAAAATAACACTAATAATATTTATGAGTTCCGTCTTAAAATTTACTTAATAAATAATTAGTTTTAATTAAAAATATAACGTATATATTATTAAGATATTAAATTCAATAATATCATATAATATTTTTTAAAAATTATACATAACACAATAAAATCAATGGCAGCTTTAAGGTTCAATTATTGATGCAGAAAGAACACTCCTTACTGTACGTAAGGGGTACATATATCCTGGAAGCCTGAACGAAAGACACAAGAAAGTGAGACAACTAATAATGTAGACGTGCCCCAAATATTTAATATTCTGTCACTATTAAAGAAAATAGTTTTTTTAATTAATTTTAATTTTACCAAAATAATAATTTTTAATTTATCGTTAAAATAATTGTTATTGTAAAATTTATTTTTTATCTCTTGTTTTATTTATTTATTATTGCATAAATAAAATTTAAAAGAAAAATAATAAAATTTTTATGATACTTTTAATAAAAATAAAATAATTAAATACTTTCATAGCTTTTATGTTTCAGTCTTAAATGACTAATATTTTAAAATAGAAAAAAAAAGACTATTATTATTCGTGGTACAGTACTTGGGACGTGATAGTGCTAGCTATCCTTGTTCAATTCACTGCTTCATTAATGAAGGTGCACTGTTAATGTGCAAATAATCAGCTCATTCATATATGGTCGCAGCCTCGGATCCAAATCTTCTCCTATGGATTTTAAACCACATAAAAAAAATTTTTTTTTTTAAATAATTATTAGTTATTAAGAATAGTTTGAAAATAAGTTTTAAAACAAAAAAAAAAACAATACAAAATTTAACGAAGCTGAGGGAGTAACATACTCCAATTACCAATTACTGCATCAAAATGATTTCCATGAAGCAAAGAAACACCGTTACTTGGAACTTCAAGAAGAAGATTATCTTCTAGTTGCTTCCCTCCTATTACAATGGCTGTCTTCTTATTAACTTCACCCTCAACAAAACCAAGGCACCACAAATCTATGTAAGAATCCAAGACTCCTCCTTTTCACTATCTTTCTCCTTGCTTTCTATGCTTGGGTTTGGGTTCATTCTTGATACCCCTATTTTCTCCCTACCCATCTGGAATATCAAGCAACCATTCAAGATCAATGCTTCACAGAAAGGTGTGGCTTTGAAAGATGTTGTTCTTAGGGTGTTGCCACAGCCTCTGATTCCCAATATGCAGTTACAAGGACAGGTTCCAAGTGGGGTGGTAGAAAAGGATGAGGATCTTCATAAGCGTCATACTTTTCACTGTTTCTTTTTACTTTCTTTTTCATGCTCAGGTTTGAATTCAATCTGGTAGTAAGTTGTCTCAATTTACACATTTTCAACAAAGACTGCTAAATGAATTTTTATACTTGAAATGAATTTTAATATAATATATTTTTAAATTTGTTATAATTTTATTTAAACTTTACATTTTATAATTTTTGAAATAAATATAACACTCCTCATTAAATTATTATAATTATTTTTTTAATATATTGTAGCGTAAATCATTTAATCTTTATTGAAACATTATTAATTTTAATTTTTAAAATTTCTTTTTATGAGAACAACACTTATTAAAATTATTAACGTTGTTTTTAAGCTGTATTTGGATTTGTGAATCGGTATATCAATTCGATTTATATAAGTTATTTTACAAACCTTTATTATAGTTATAGTATTTAGGAACTTTAGTCTATTTAATATATATATTAAGTAGTGAAATATCTGCATTTTAAAAGAAACATAATTGGCAATTAATAGAGTCGTAAGGAAATAAGAAACATAATATAAAAAGAAGAATTTTTGCTATTAAATAATATTATCCATAATCATTTTTTTGTCTTAGTTTTTTTTATTAACAATATATTTTCAGAACTTAAAGTAAGGACTTTAATGGCCTTATATCAGCATTCACCACCGCATCTCATAGCAATTATTAATTGACAAAGCCAAGTCATGTTATCGTGAGAAGAATGGAGAGTTGGGCAGTAGAGCATCCAATGACACTACTAATAATTGAACAATAATATATCAGCTTAATGTTAAATGTCCTTTTTTAATAGTATAGATATAGATATACAACAATCTTAAAATAATTGTATTGGGGGCATTTACCTACCTATTATTTATTTGGTCTAGAAGAAAGGAAGGGAAGAGAGGAAATTAAGACAAAGTAAATGAATTTATTATTATATATCTAAGTTAATTAAATATAGATATTAAATTATAAATAATTATCTTTAATTAGTTTATAAAGTTTTCATTTTTTAAAATCTTTATGCTCTTGTAAGAGAGTTAGAGTTCACTGTAGAGAATTTTGGCTATTTCCCTTCATCTTCTTTCTTTTCCTTCAAAATATTAAATATATAAGAAAGATGTAATTATAGCAATAATTTAAATAAGAAAGTCTATATTTTCATAATTACAACAATTAAGAAAGTGTGTATTTTTATATTTAATGATTTGATCTTATCATAAATATATGTTTTTCTGTTAATTTAGACACATATTCAGATTCATCACGTGTCTCTTCTTGTTTTTTTTTTTTTTCATGGTATCTGAGTTTGTCGAGAAATAATCCTTATTCGTGATTACTTAGTGAATTCATTGTTTATTGGTGCAAAAGTTCTTTTTAAAAATATGCTCTTCATCTCGTTTTTAGACTACTAATTTTTTTTATTACCATTTATAGTTGATCAGCAACTTATCCCTAACTCTATGTTGTTTTTATAAGGATATATGTTGAAAATTTATGTACACAAGCATTGAAGAGGAATAAGGAATTGTGATTTAGTCAAAACTTTCTTGAGAAATAATTTTGTTCAAAGTTCATATGTCCTTAAGTTAATTATAAAATAATTAAAATGCTTAATTAGTTATATTATCAAGTTTTTTTTTTCTTTTAAGGTTTTTTCATTTGAACTAAACTATTCAATCTTTAGAATCTTCTATGTTAAACTTTGATAAATAATTTTCACTCTATCTTATACAACATACACACTTCTATTCTCACTCATGTTTTTTTAACACATTTTTTTTCTCTCTCAAACAAAATTCCATTGAAGCTCTAATTTCTTCCTTTAAGACTAAACCATTTCCTACCACCAAGCAACCATTGAAGGTCCTATATCTCCCATTCCCACTCATGTTCTATAATTGTAAATAATTCGTGGATTTATGAGGTTTATTTTTATTATAGTTACTATATTTTATTGAATTTGTATGACTCGTTACTTATTTTTTTATTTATTTATGGATCATTTGATAAATAAGTGTTGGGTGTGTTAAATTTGGACTGGTATAACACTCTTAAATTCCGTGCTAGTGGATTTCTAATTTATAAAAGGAATTAAAGATTTTCGTGGTTAATTTTTTTCGTTTCTTTCTCTTATCTTTCTCATGCTATTTGTGATTGACTTGATTGCTATTTTATTTTGATTATTGATGTATGTAGATTGAACTATAAGTGATACTTTAGACTTCTAGCAACACTTAGATAATATTCTTAACTTTTAAAAATATTGAACTAAGAGTCTTTTAAATACAGCTCCATGATTATTTTTAAGGTTTTAAACTTTACATCCCTGGTCCTATATTCGCATTATTTTACTTGAAATATCATGGATTGCATTGTTGCTTTTTCTTTGGTCCTTCAACCAACCTGCAACTTTTTATTTTCTTCAGTAATACCTTTAATTTTTTAAGCTTTAATGATTTTTTTGTTGTTGTATTGTTATATGTTTCATGTTGGCTTAATTATAATTGTTTGAAAAAAAAATTATTCTTTCCTTCTTGGTTATTAATGAGTAAAGAGAACCTTAGGAAAAACATGAATTCCTTGATAGCACTAAAGTGGTAGACCTGGCCCTGTGATTGTTGAATCCACCATTTTGCACCTCATACTTTATTTGGAAAGAGAAACGGAGGCTTGTACTTTTTTTTGCTTTGTGCATAATGTTATCCACTGACCAAATTTCTTCCTTCTCATTACAAGCCTAAGTTTTGATCAAATTAGTCATGCAATAGATTTCCTCAATTGCATGAAATATTAGTGTTCCAACTGGGTCACAACGGACAGCAAAAACATTTTAAGAAATAACATCTTTTAGGAATTAAAATATTTTCTAAAAAATATTAGAATAGTAACCACTAAAATTTATTAAAGAAAAACTTTGGAAAAAATTTTAGAATGTTGTGATCTTTGAAACAAAAAATGAGTTCAAGAGTCATTTACGTATAAGGAAGGTACTAGTATCCTACAATGTCTCTTTAAACAAAGGTTATCTTAAGTTAATTGTGCAAATTAATTTTAATTTTAAAAATATTTATTTAACCCTTAAACAGTAATTCTTGCTATTTTATTTTTAAAGAAAGAAAATTTATTTATTGAAATATTAATTTATATTTCAAGAAAGAGAAATTTATTTTGACTCGACAAGTTCAGTTTCTACTCTTACGTATCCCTAGGTACAATAGAGAACTCAAAATTATGTAGTTCTACCATAAAAATTCTGAAGTCGGTTGGTTAAAATTAAATTTAGTAAAAAAAATTTATTTTAAAATTAAAATTATAACGTTTAACATACAAGATAATGTGGTTATACATGTATCATACGATAAATAATATAGGAGGTG